TGGGAATGATCAGGTGCATTCGAAGCCCGTTAGCGGAGAGGGGTCTCTTCGAGCCGCGTACTAAGGTACCTATGGCAGCTAGGTCGGTCGGCAGGGGCCCCATGGGTCACGTTGGCCTCTGGGTCAATCGAAGGAAACAAAAAAAAAAGCGTGACAGCCGAGAAGAGCAAGTGCCATGCCATGAGAATGTGATGCTTAAAGCTCCTGTGTCTGCCGCATCCGCTTGACCAGGCCCTACTCTTCCACTTTCCACGTCCACCGTTGGCCGTTCCTCGCAGCCGATCACTGTCTTGACGTCTTCACTGGAGCTGATACTGGTGACCATTTACTCGCGTCTCACAACTTGAAGCAACCTGGATAGCGATTGGCACGCCTTGCGACTGCCGATACCATCACTCGTGCCGTGGAAACGACCGACTTCTTCTTCTTCTTCATCATCGACTTGGCTTTTGACGACACCTCGACAGTCACGATATACACACAGCCGCCATGGCGAGGTCAAAGATGAGCAGCAAATCGTCTGAAAATGCTTGGGTGAGCTCTATGCCCTCCCCATCGTTGCCCTCTTCTTCCCTGGCACCCCTCATCCGCGCACTCAGATCCTCGCACCTCAGCGACACATGTCCTCTCCCCCTCACCTCCCTCTCTCTCTTGTGCTTTTGCGCGAAACATCTGCACGGCACGTCATCCTACTCGCTCCCAATGACCTGCCTCGGGGTGCTGGCATCCTAGCAAGCACACCTCCCGTCAGGCGTGGGTGGCATGGTTCCCCCAATTGCTCACCCTTTCCCCCCTCACTCTCTGCGCGCGCGTGCGCCTTGGGACCCGCAGCCCGAGGTCCAGAACAGAACAAGCACCAGGGGTCAAGCTTTTGGGGGCCTGACCGCAGATGCTGGTCCCTGGCAGATTTTGTTTATCTGGCTGCCTTGTGGAAGGGCCCGCGACCGCCCCGACTCCCCGATTCCCTGACTCCCGAGTGGAGTGCACCGTCCCTCCATCAGCCCCGGCCCCACCAGCCCTGCGCCTCTCCGTCAGTGACGTTTGCAGCGGTTGCGTCACTGTTCACCCAGACCCTTACCTTAGCCCCAAGCTTGCGACCATCATCTCCAATGCCCCAAAGGGTTGGCCGACGTAAATACGGGCCTGGCCTGATCTTGTTGCGTGACGACGCGCAAGCCTCAAATACATTTTATCCGCCATTCCTCTTGCATCTGATCAATTCCGTCCCACACTTCACACACGCGCAAGCTTCCCATCGTTAACCACATCATTCTCAGGCCAACCAGTATCTCCTCGATCCCCTGACAGCACCAGAACCCAGCCAAGAAGACGGTCCAGGCAGCACATTTGTGAATCCCGACCCTCTTCTACGAACCTTTTCCAGGAGGAACAAGGACTCCACTGCAAGCAAGAACGAGACCCCTCTGCCAACACCGCCCACGTCGGCAAGTCCTACACGCGTGAGCTTCCAGCCTCCCAGCAACACCAGTGTCTCTCGCAGCACCAGTACCCGCAACCACACGGGTTCGAGAAGTCACCCACCACGTCCCGAGAAGCACACGAGGAGCATCAGCACCCCGGTTACAGGATTCCACCGCCCCCAATCCATATCGCAGAGATATCCCGGCGACATGTCTCACCGCCCGCTAGACGTTATCAAGCGCGAGCAGCGCGCTGCTGACCGCTCTCCGCACCTGCGCACCCGCCGCCATGGACCCAACACGGACATCATTGACGGCCTCGATACCATGGGCGGAATTTACCACCATGGGGGTCCCTATGACGCCACGCTCGCCTCGCGAAACCGCAATAAAATGTATTCGCCTCTCGACGCCGTGAAGGATTCCAACATGGAGGCGCTTAGGGCTACGCCCCGCGAGTATGTCATTGATTCTCTAGAGAGGCATGTGCCTCTCCAGGGCACTGCCACGATTCCCGCCGGTTACACCGATCTCTCCGGTAAAGTCATGAACTATGAGGAAGGCGCCGATCTGATGCGGGAGGCCGACGCTGCTGGCGGCGCGTACAAGAGGTGGGATGGCATTGTGAGTAACATTCGACGCCAATCATCCGACCTTCGCTCACAATCTATAGAAATATCACCCCGACGACCTCAAGGGCAAGGGTGAGCCATCGTACACATATGAGAAGGATCTCAAAGAGAAGAAGCGTCTCCGCCATTCCATGAATGCCGGTCCTGCCGAGTACGAGATGCGATCGGGCATGAACCGGGAGCACCGCAAGAACGGTCCTGGTATGGTTCGCCAGCGCAGTGTCAGCAATGCCGCCGATGGGAGGCCCGGACCTGCCGGTACCCTCCGTCCTTCCAACTCACCCCCTGCCGTCGGCTTTTCCAAAAGCACAGATATTGGCCGCAGCAATTCGGCCGGCAAGCGCTTCAGTGAAGGCTTCAAGCGACGCTTTGGCAGTCTTCGTAAGAAAACCCAAACGGAGGCATAACTTGGCGGTGATGCGGCGTATGACGTATGATTTTTTATTGTAGCTATTTCCTGGTTTGCTGTCCGGACGTACCGGAGAGGCGCGTGTTGTGTATTACTAGGGCAAAAACTACTGGTATAGATGTCGGGACCTTTTTTTTTTCCTGTCGCGCGAGGTTTCCGACATGGGTTATGGAGTAAATATGAGATATCCACTTGGTTCGACTGCTCTCCTCCGCTAGGGTGAAAGGCCGTGAGACGACCAGGTGTGCCGATGATGTCATTGCGCTCCGAAGTCCTCTTGAGCATGCGCCAGGGCCCATTTTGAGCAGTGCTTAGCATTATCCATCATGATTGCGACACGCGCCCTCGCGGCCGAATCGTTCTTGCTTTAGACTTGTCGGTAGTTTGTTCGCTAAGGTTGGACCACGTAGGCATAGTTTGCGAGTAGGTTGCATCCGGTTCGGGGTTGTCACCTGTGGAATGGGAAGACGCACATGCAGGACCACAGTACTGCATAAGAATAGCACCAGGTGAGTTCGACCGGCGATAATGCGGCTCTACCACAGAACAAGAATACAGTAGATGATGATGAGCAGATGGGCAAGATCACGAGCAACCCGGTGACGATGGCCCGGTGTTCCAGCGGTGCCGGACCTCCCGGGTAGGCGACTCTCGCCGGGCTATCCGGGCTATCAACGTTTCGATCAGTCATCTCAATGTGAAAATTCGGGTTTACACGTGTGTTTGACTTGCAGAATCTAGTGGCATGATAGCGGGCTGGCGCGGCCAGAGGATAGACGCGCCAAGGCTCTCGTGCCCGCCCATGGGGACTCGGGCGGCGAGCATGTTCGTCGCGTAAGCTTCGTGGTTCCCAAAATCGATCCATGGGCGTATCATACCCCCGAGGCGATTCCTGAAAGTGTAAAACGTGCTTGCTTTGCAGTGAATTAAGGTTGAGTCTCGTTGACGTCGTATGGGGGCCTCAAAGGTTTGACACGGAAGCAGTTACTTTACGATGTATGCAGTACTGTGGCTGAAACTCAATGTCCCCTGCGCCTCGCCAAAAGTTGAGTTTCTCATGGTCACCTTCTTCGCAACAGGGATCGCCTGTTGAGATATAGAATTCGTTCCAAAGCTAGGGGCCGTTATCCCATCCCGACAGGCAACGATCGGACACACCGACATCGCTGAGATGACACAGGACGGGAATCTCAGGGTGCCCGGCCGTATTGGCCTATCCGGGTATGTAATGAGGACAACGTTTATCCAGTGAAGTTCAGATACATATCACGGTTGCCACCAAAGCACACTCGAATGATCAGTCACGCTGATGGCTCCCATGTAAGCGTCGGTGACGTCGCCCGCCTCGGCAAGGTGAACCTCTGAAGCCGGCATTGGATTACCGATGCTACAATGCTCATCCGACTACTTGGAAGAAGAGCCCTTCACGCAATTCAAAAAAGAGTGTGAGGTGCTCAGCTGGCGCCCAAAGCATCATTGTGACCTCGTAATAACAGAATAGCCTTCCCCAGATGTCGTCGCTGCAACGTCGTCCGGTTACACCCCACAGACGAGAAAAATGAGAATATGCCAACATTACTCGCGCCTGTCACCAAGCAAAAACGAGAAAGAAAAAAGTCCGTATCGGCACCACAGAGCGTGCACCAGCAAAAATGATCAGGAAGGGATTCGAACCCTTGCCTATGAAATAGACTAGCACCTGAAGCTAGCGCCTTAGACCACTCGGCCACCTGACCTTGTTTGATGACATAATCGAAGCAGCGGAAGCATCATGAGGGGCTCGGGCGGTTGCCGTTGCGGAAGCGAGATGCGTGCGCGAGGATGGGGGTTGTGGATAACGCAGGGTCTTCAGAATCGTGAGCGGGGCGTTGTGGTGTTGTGAGTGCACCAAGAGTGTGGATGAGGGTGGAGGCTTTGGCGGAAGGGCGAGTGGGGCGGCATGTTTAGTCTGAGAGCGAGGGGCGGTAGAGGTCGGCGGACCGAATTGGCAGGGTATCAAGGAACAAGATGATTGAAGGGATTCAGAAAGGCGGGTGTCTGCCAATGCTCAAAATAATCGTCGTCCAGGCACTTGGGACAGGGATGCCACGATCAAGATTTGGATGATGGTTGCGGAATGTCCTTGTAAGTTGGACTCGATCTTCCTCTACACACTGGTACCGAAGTAGGGTACTTGACTTACACCGCCGGAGCCCCCCCATCTCTACGACAGTTGGCACGCCGGGGCACGCTCCTTGCCGTGGGATAGTGTTGATCAGGTCACGCGAGAGGCCTCTAGCAAAGGGCACAGTTAGGCACTACGGGGGACCATTTCCCGCATGGTAAAAGATATAACCAAAGCTCCAGGGTATCATTCATCGTTATTTGCACCGACCCGTAATACATCGCAAACCCCGTTCCATGACATCGCAATTCCTTCAGACCCTGGCCGACCACTCTCAGCGTCCAATCTGGCCTCACGCATGTGATGTTCTGGTCTCCTCATCAGGACGAGGCGACGCCATAGTAGATACCAACACCAAGACCGATGCCCAAGAAAACAGTCATGACGACGATCCAGTGGGCGTACTGCCACCTTTGGTTCTCGCGGCCAGAGAATCCTGGCGGCGGCTCGTTCTTGTATCTTTCGTACTGTGGTGGTTTCGACTGTGAAGCCTCGCCGTACCCCGGGAGGTGTGCAGGGCCAGGAGCCTCGATGGTGTCCGGATTCGGGCTCCCGCCTGCGGGTTGAGACGTGGATGCGAAAGGAGCCGCCTGCTGCGGCGGTTGAGCTTCAAGTTTGGAGAGCTCGTGATAGATGGGCAGAGCCGCGTCAGGGCCGCCTGGCTGAACTTGTCGGGAGTTGCTTGAGTTGTCCATTCGATGGATACAATGGGCTTGTGTAATGTGTTGTGACGAGTGCTTTTGGTACCGTGGAGTGTCGATGCTGTGACAAGGTGGTCGTGTTCCCCCAGCATACTAGGGGACTCACTCGTCACTAGATATATGGCCACTGCTGTGGCTCTTGGCTGTGAGGCCTCGCGTCTCGAGCTGTCTGTTTGTCTCGATCTTTCAGAACTGAGGGGCGGGGTTTGGTGAGCCAGCAGGGGTATCATTGGTCAAGTAGCTAGCCCTCGAACTTGGGATTGTGGCGGAGCACGCTCATAAACTCTTGGCTTCTCAAGTCCGTGACTCCATAGAGTATGTCGACCCCGGCAATAGGTTATCTCGACCCCAAGTCCAGGGACCAACAGACAGTATTGGTCGTGTTGTGGGCCGGGATGAGCTGTTCGGCTCGTGCCATCTGATGGCCAAGGTCGTCACAGTGGTGTTGTAGCGGTGGCGGAGCAGACATTGCTCTTCGGTGCCGCACGCGTGCACCTTGATCATTTTGCGACTCTGAGCTTGCCTAGCAATGCATGCTGCGGCCATCGCCCAGTCGGTTGGTTGGACACACGGCTCAGACATCGAAATATTACGGGGGAATGAGAGAGGCGCAGCTCAAGGAAAGCGGCGGCATGCTTTGTCACGTAGCAGCGGTGGCATGCTCCGCCAGTTGTTGACGATGCTTGTGCCGCATGATCAAAACGCCGAGATCAGCACTGTATAAGTTGTGATGGCAGCGGAAAGATGATGAACGACAGCTCGAATTGCGATGTCATTGACTAGCAGTCGGGTGAGGTTTGGCTTCATCGAAGGTCCACCTGCTTGGGGGTGGGTGCGTGATTGGGGGCAAGACGGGAGCGATCCAGGGTCCAAAGTTTGTTTAGTCATCCTACGTACGATGTAACAGGCTGGAGCATCGCCACTTGCCTGCCTCGCGAATGGCTCTTACAAGGCTGAACCACGAGATGTTGGTCAAGAGCTACCCGAACAGTTGCCCGTGAACAGAATTTTCAACTTTGACTTCACCGCCTCTTTGTACTTCTTTCTCCAGCAAGAGGTTCTATTCCTGGCATCATCAAGTGAGTGTGAAAGTGCCCGTCCATACACCGCCAGGTAACAGCCGCGGGGTGCCTCGTCAGTATCCCACATCTTACCGTGCCAGCCATGGGTGCCGAAGACGGAGAAATCAAGAGCGAGGAGCTCACGGAAGACATCCTTGAAGCCAAACCCGCCAGCTTTCATGGCCGCCTACAAAATTTCATCCACGTCCCGTCCTCCACAGACTCACCACCCCGCCGCAGCGTTCGTGTTGCCGCCACTCTCGGGCAGGCAGGCAACTTGAGGCCTGAGCCCAGGCTACAGGCATCACCATCACCGTCTCCGTCACGGCAGACGAAACGAAAGGCGTCGCCTTCCGAGGGCACAAAAAGGAAACGGTCCACTCCTCGTTATGCGCCTCCCTCCACCTATGCCCACCTGCCCCTGTTGCCTGACGCCATTGCACCCAACCTCTTGATCCTCTTCATCGGCCTCAACCCGGGCATCCAGACTGCCTCGACAGGCCATGCCTACGCGCACCCCTCGAACCTCTTCTGGAAGCTTCTGTATCACTCGGGCATCACGTCGCGCCTGCTGCCGGCCTCGGAAGACCGGACGTTGCCAGAGCGGTATGCGTGCGGGTTCACTAACATTGTGTCCCGCCCGAGCCGCAACGGCGCCGAGCTACGGAACGCGGAACTTGACGCTGGCGTTGCGGTGTTGGAGGCTAAGATTGCCAAGTGGAGGCCAGAGGCGGCTTGCATCGTGGGCAAGGGCATCTGGGAAGCAGTCTTCCGGGTCAGGAAGGGCAGGGGCATGAAGAAGGGGGAGTTTGAGTACGGCTGGCAAGAGGGCGAGAACATGGGGGTGGTGAGGGACGGCGAGGAAGGGGGGCCGTGGGAGGGGGCCAGAGTGTTCGTCGCGACGAGCACGAGCGGACTTGCGGCGACTCTGGGGCCGAGGGAGAAAGAGGTGATTTGGGGGGAGCTTGGGGCTTGGTGTACGCAGAGGAGGGCCGAGAGAGGCATGCTGACTGAGGTCAAGGAGGAAGAAGCGAAGTCTGATGGCATCGAGCTTCTAGATCCATGACCCAAGTTGGTGATCTTTCAGAGTGATTTTTTTCTTTTTTGAGTTAAGAACTCATGGGAGTTCGCAGTATGATTGAGAAATATCTGCCTTCTGTTCAATGAGCTTTCGAGATCGGAATGCTCCAGGTGAAGATGTCAAGTCAACGCCAGGTGCATGCACAATATGTGAGGCCCACAAGTGTTGATGGAGATTCTTATCAGACCAATCATTCGCCCCCAACAGACAATCTAAGCCCTTCTGGGCGACGTCCTAGGCGGTCTGGAGGCAACGGCAGGCGTATGCACCAAACGGGCGGCAGAAAAATCTCGATTGGAAAAAAAGTTGGGCGGTCGAAGAAAAAGAAGCGCCCCGCCTCAAGGAGGCCGGGAAAAAAAGGCCAGGACAACTGGAGAGCTTCAGCTTCACCAGGCATCCCCCCCCCTCTCTCACCCACACGAATAAATTCAGCCTCCGACGACCATCGATCGATCATGGGCAGAATCAAGAAGAAGGGCCAGGCCGGCGCGGCCAAGAACTACGTGACCCGTACCCAGGCTGTCAAGAAGCTTCAGCTCAGTCTGCCAGATTTCCGAAAGCTCTGCATCTGGAAGGGCATCTACCCGCGCGAGCCTCGCAACCGCAAGAAGGTCTCCAAGTCCTCGACCCCCTCGACCACCTTTTACTACGCCAAGGACATCCAGTATCTGCTGCACGAGCCTCTGATTCAGAAGTTCCGCGACCAGAAGGCCCTTGAGAAGAAGATTTCCAAGGCCCTCGGTCGTGGCGATGTGGGCGATGCGAAGAGGCTCGAGGGAAACGCCGTGCGCACCGACAAGACGGGCAAGCCCGGCTACACCCTCGACCACGTCATCCGTGAGCGCTACCCGACCTTCATCGACTCCCTGCGCGACCTGGACGACTGCCTGTCCATGCTGTTCCTCTTCGCCAACCTGCCCTCCACCTCGACCGTCCCCGCCAAGATGATCGCCAGGTGCGAGCGTCTGTGCCTCGAGTTCCAGCACTACCTCATCGTCTCCAAGAGCCTCACCAAGTCCTTCCTTTCCATCAAGGGCATCTACTACCAGGCCAACATCCAGGGCGAGGACGTCCTGTGGCTCGTTCCCTACAAGTTCAACCAGCGCGTTGTCGGCGACATTGATTTCCGCATCATGGGCACCTTTGTCGAGTTCTACATGACCCTGCTCGGTTTCATCAACTTCAGGCTCTACACCTCTGTCGGCCTCAAGTACCCCCCCAAGTTTGATCTCAGCAAGGATGAGCAGTCGGGCGAGCTCGGCGCCTTCATTCTCGAGGGCCAGGGCCTCGCCAACGACGACGAGGAACAACCCCAGCAGCAGCAGCAGCAGCAGATCGCGGAAGGCGAGACGACCGAGCACCACCCCGACCCCGAGACCCAGGCGGCCGTCAACAAGGTGGTCAAGAAGCTCAAGGGCGCCGCCGATGTCACGGATGAGGCCTCGAGCGACAACTCGGAAGCCGCCGATACCAACGCCATCGACAAGTTCGAGCCCGCCGCCCCCGGTGGTGACATTCTCCCGCAGCCCAGCTACTCCAGCTCGGACGTCGGCAAGCTCTTCGCCCACTGCACCTTCTACCTGTCGAGGGAGACCCCGCGCGGGCCCCTCGAGTTCATCCTGCGCGCGTTCGGCTGCAAGCGCATCGGCTGGGACTCGGTCCTGGGCGAGGGCGCCTACACCACCGACGAGCACGACCCCTCGATCACGCACCAGATTGTGGACCGCCCCATCATCGCCGGCGTGCCCGTCGAGGCGCAGGCCGAGGACAACCAGACGGCGCAGAAGCTGGGCCCCAACCAGCGCATCCCCGGCAGGGTCTACGTCCAGCCGCAGTGGGTGTGGGACAGCGCCAACGACGCCGAGCTCAAGCGGCCGGATCTGTACGCGCCCGGCGCGCAGCTGCCGCCGCATCTGAGCCCCTTTGTGCGCGCCGTGCAGGGCCAGTACGACCCGACGGTGCCGCTCGAGGAGCAGGAGACCGAGGGCGAGGTCCTTGCCGACAGCGACGAGGAGATGGACGACGAGCAGCTCGAGGCCATGGCCCTCGAGGCGCCCGACATGGACGTGGCCGGGTCGGAGGATGACTCGGACGCCGGCGCGGGCGACGACTCGTTTGGCGGCTTCGACGACGACGAGGCCGAGCACGACGAGGAGGACGACGACGACGCGGCGCAGCGGCAGCTGGAGCTCGAGGCCGAGCTGACGGGCGCCGGCGTCAAGGCCAAGACGACGTCGGCGGCCAAGGCGAAGAAGGACGCGGCGCGCAAGGCGCTGGCGAAGAGGGCAGCCGAGGAGGAGGAGGAGCACGAGCGGGCCAAGGGCATGCTGCCCAAGAAGAAGCGCAAGCTGTACGAGCAGATGATGTACACCAACAACAAGAAGAGCGCCGAGGCTGAGAAGCTGCGGGCCAAGAGGAGAAAGCACGAGAAGGAGGCAGGCAAGCGGGCTTAGTCTTTTTTCGTAGGTAGACGTTGGGCGTTTAATACCAGGCGTTATTCTTTCCACTTTTGATGCCCATGTTCAGTGTTTTGATGTGCCATGAAGCGTACCGAGTGTGATGGGTGTGATGGGTCAGAAAAATATTGATAGAATGACCTCGTCGAAGGTCTGGCCTGCTCACCTTGTTCTTGCCTCTTGCCTCACCTCATCACACCTCAACACACCGAAAACCAAATGCCCCACTTCAGACTCAACCTTCACTTTCGTCCCTCTCTCACCGAGCTGCAACCACCAACCTCACACCAACGTCAAACAACCACGATGGCCGTCGTACCAGATGACGACTGGGACCTCGACACGGACGAGATCCGGTCCACCGCCTCTGACGAACTCTACGAGACGCGCCCCAACCGCTGGCGCGGCCCCCTCTCGACATGGCGGCACATGACCGAGGAAGAGCGCCTGCTGCACCAGAACATGGAGCAGGTGCGCGACCAAGATCTCGCCCTCCACCTCTTCAATGCCGCCATGCTGCGGAATCCGCCCCAAGTATGCATGCCGCCCTCGCCCCCGCACTCGTCTCATTTGGACAAGGGCTGGATGCCAGAAGAAGAAGAGCCCGCTGACATGCATAGGGCACCCAGGACGCGCTGCCTGAGGGCATGGGTCTCGGCGACTGGCGCCCGCCGCAGGCGTGGACGGCATGGCCGTTGCCTGTCGAGGCTCTGCCGAGGGAGAAGCTGCTGCGGGAGACGCGTGACGCGCACGATGCGTTTACGCTGAGGAGGAAGGATGCGTGGAGGCCGGGGAAGGACTTGGAGGAGGAGGTGTCTGCGTCGATGCTGCGGATTGCCAAGGAGAGGTTCCGCGAGCGGAAGTTTGGGCAAGGCGATGAGCCGTCGGAAGCTGGGCGGCACTCTGACGAGGACTCTGCTGAGGAACCTGAGGATGCGCATTCTGATGACGCGGAAGGCGAGCCTCTGACGAAGGGCACATCCGAAGGGGAAGAGGCCGAGAGCGAGGACAGCGACGAGTCACAGGATGGAGACGAGCACAGCGTGCAAGACGAGGCGGAGCAGCACCAGCAACCACCAGAGGATGGAGTCCCGGCGCAACCACGAACCACCAAGGCCAGCAAGCAGTACGCGCCCGTCGTGTCGGCAGATGACGACCTCTCCTACGAACTCCTCCGCCCCTCTGCAAGGCATATTCTTACAAAGCTCGACGCGACCCTGACGACCCTGCACAATGCGCGCATGGCTGGCGTCGTGGCCCGAGACCAGACGGACGATTCTGCTAGCGACAGGTCCTCCGTCATCTCGGACGCCGAAACAGAAGTCGCGATATCTCAAAAGCGAGTAGCAAATGCCAGATACGCCAAGAAACGCCCGGCACCAGCCTCATCGACATCCTCTTCATCCGAGGAAGATGATGCAGATGACGAATCAGCGTCGGAGAAGACGCCCCGCGGCAGACCCATTGCCCCGCGCAAGAGACGGCCATCGAAGCGCGGCGTCTCGGCATCGTCTCGTGACAGCGACTCAGATACGTCTCGTGCGTACCGAATGTGGCGTGACAGTCGACTCAACAGGTGGGGTCTGCGCGACTGGCGGGACGTGCTTGGAGCTGCCGCGCTGGCTGGATTCGATGCTGATGTCGTGGCACGCGCGGCGCAACGGTGCGCGGATCTCTTTGGGCAGAGCATGGAGCTTCACACGGTTGCTGAGGGACAGGAAGGGTATCTAACGACGACATGTTACCCGGGTAAGCCGCTGCCGGCAGCCCAAGACGGTGGGGAGGAAGACGAGGAGAGACACCTCGAGGAGACAAGGCGAAGACTCAGATACGAAGCTATACAGCTCCGAAGAGCGAGGGAGAGGCGCGCCGGGAGAGCGCCGGCAGGTGCAGACACACAAGACTCTGACGAGGATGACGATGGCGATGCGCCCAGGAGCAGATCACGCAACGGCCCCACGGACGAAGACAACGATTCCAGCGGTGTCGAGTTGCCAGTGCGACCCAAGCTCGAGATCGACCTCAACGCTGTGCAGGCATCGCCCGATGGGCTGTTCTACTGCCCCATAACGCACTGCAAACGGCACACGAAGGGGTTCGGTGCGAAGCGCGGACTGCGAGAGCACTTCAAGCTGATCCACGACCAGCCGACGGCGCAAAAGGGCGCATTTTACTGTCCTATCACGACGTGCAAGTACCATGTGCGGAGCTTCAAGACGAGAAAGAACCTCACCGCACACATGCGTCATGTGCATAGCACCGAGCTCGCTGCTGGAGACGAGCCAGAGGCCGTGACTCCCAAGGGCAAGGGCAAGGGCACGGAACAGACGCCCGCGATGCAAATGCCCTCGGCAGGCAATCCGGGCAGCGACGAGGAGATGGACGGTGCCGTGCATGTCGATGGGTTCCTGAGGCCGATCAAGATTCGACAGGGATGGCTATCAAAGGGAGGGCGAGAGAAAGGTCAACGGAATAGGGGGACGAAAGACCATGCTGACGGCTAGATACGGCGAGTTTCATGGTGGACGAGCGACCCTCATCACGACGATCTACACAGGAGATGGTAGGAACTTGGCTCTCGCTTTCCAACTTATCGTTCGAGCCGGGAAGATCATTCTCCCTTGGCAGCAAACTGCCTCTCAACCTCATCCGCAAATTCGCCAATGGTCTGAAACTTCCACTCAAAAGCGACATGGTCCTTCAACCCTTCCGGATCCCCTCCGATGCCCTGCCCCTCCTTTGTATCCCCGCCCCGCGCGATCCAGACACTTCGCAACCCGAGTTGCTTCGCCGGCACATGGTCCGCCCTGAGGCTCCTCGCAACATGCAGCAGCTCCCCCTTCTCCAACCCGACGCCGTGCTCCCGCCCCACCCGCTCAAACAGGTACCGAAAGTTGGCGTGCGCAGGCTTGTAGCTCCCGATCCGCTCAGCCGTGTAGACGCCGTCAAACGCGACCGGCCGCATGGCGCCGACCGACGCGGCCATGTTGCGCTCGTCGACGTTGCTCAGGATGAAGAGCTTGTACCGGCGCTTGAGCGTCTGCAGGCCGGCGACCGTGTCGCCAAACGGCACGCTGCGCCGGCCATGTCGCGCCACGCCGCAAACTCGGCCTCTGTCAGCTGGCTGGCGACGTCGAGGTCGGCGGCGAGCTTGCGGAAGGTGCGGGCCAGGAGCTCGTCGGCGAGCAGCGCGGGTTCGTCGTGCTCGAGGGCGTCGGAGGCGGCGTGGAAGCGCCGCATCAGGGCGACCATGTCTTTGAGGTCGTGGCAGGGGGGCAAAGCAGCGTGGAGGGGCGCTAGGTGGTGACGGAGGCTGGACTCGTAATCCACGAGCGTGCCGTAGTTGTCGAAGGACAGGGCTTTGAATGACGTGAGGTCGGGGTGCGCTGGCATTTGGGCGGTTGCCGTGTATGAAGGGGTTGACCTGTGTTTGGAGAACAGATGTCGTTCAGTTGCTATCAACTACAAGTTTCGCGCCATGGGCAGAGAGCTTCTCTTATCAACATGGAAGGCTACCCATGAAGGCCGCGCGTGTGGATGTGTGTTGCATGTCGTGTGTACGATGACGTCCAAGGGCGCGGTTGACACGCTGCTCACAAAGGGTCGTAAGCCTGGGCGTCGATCATCCCTCATTGTCAGACCGTTCCGTCCAACGACCTTGGTGTGATGCGATTCTCCCCAACCGCCGCTCCAGAAGCATACCAAGAGAAGCATACCAAGAGAGGCACACCCGACAACACAATGATGTGACATCTTCATCTGATCATGCATGTACCGGTCAAGTGGCAGCACATAGTCAAAGTTCAACGGAATCGATCAGATGAAAGTGAATTATACCACAAAGCCAACGATGGAACAAGAAGGGTATCAAGCGTACAGTAAAAACCTACACCACGACACGACCCAGCGGCAGAGTACAGACCCTCGCGTCCTCTCGTGCCTCGACCGTGAATCAGACCCGGACCCCTCCAGCACGAAGCACATGCAGCTCCATAGAGTAGTCCACACGCAGGTCACGCATAGCCAGACGCCCCAAAACGCCTCGCTGTCTCGACAGAAAATTCAGGGCGGAAAAGACGCTCAGTTCAATCTCGGACTCTTCCTCCTCGGGCCGAGGCTCTGCGAGAACGCCGCGACGGGCAGCGGCACGTTCTCCCGCCCCTCGAGCGGCACCGCGACCGTCTTGCGGCCAATCTTGCTCTGCTGCCGCGACGTGCTGTACTTGAAGGGCAGAAGCCCAGTCGCGGCGTCGCCACCGTCGGCAGCGGCTGCCTCCTTCATGGCGGCAGCCCCGGCCGCCGGGTCGAACAGCAACGAGCCCGCCGTCGTCAGGTTGGTTTGCGTCAGGTTAGGGTTCACCTCGCGGAGGCTCATGCTGAACGGGACGGTGTGGTTCGTCGGGGCGTTCTCCGAGATGGACGGCATCGTCGAGGCCCGCGTCTGGCGTGGCGACGAAGCCAGGAGGTCGGGCTCGTCATCATCGTCGGCGAAGACGGTGGGGATGGTGCTGGACTTGCTGGGCGAGGCGGAAACGCCGTGCAGGTCGTTGAGGAGCTTCTCGTGCGCCTTGGTCTTGGGCAGATCGGTCGGGAATTGGTAGTGCATCTTCATAGGGGTGTCGCCGGTAGGTTGGTATTCCTGGATGACCGTGGACGCTATCTCGTCCCGCAGCGCAGCCAGGGGCTGGCAGATGTCGTCCCCGATGGGTGCGAGACCTTGTCTAGCCTCCTCTGTCTGCGTTGCCAGCTTGCTTCCCAGGTCCTGGACACGGTCGAACGTAGTCGCGCAGTGCGATGCGATCTCTTCGAATGACTGTCCAACAGTCTCGGAGAGCTTCTGCACAGACTCTGCATGCTTCTCGTGGTGGGAGGCATTCTCGTCGCGGGCGTGGGTAACGAAGTCGTCCAGGGCTTTCATCTGCACGTCAAGGTTCTCGAGCTGCTCGTCCACCACGCGCATCGTCTCGGCGTTGACCGACTTGGTGGTGCCCTGGATGGATGAACTGTGTTCTTCGGCGGCCTATCAATCATGTCAGCGCTGTTTCTGTTCCTTCGGGCCGAGTCTCTGGTACGCACGTTCCAGTCCTCCTTCAGCTTCGTCTTCATGGCTTCCTTCGAGTTGGCGACCGTCTCCAGGAGCTCGTCTTCCTTGCTATTCCACGCGTCCATACCCTCTCCGTAGGCGGCAACATCCTTCTCAAGCGTAGTGTTGGACGCGAGGATGCTCTTCTGCAGCTCGGCCGTCTTGTCGGCGAGTCGCGACTCTTGCACCTCCGCCTGCGCGTTGATCAGGGACGTGATCTGCGTGAGCAGGTCCTGTCGGTCGACGGCCGCCTGTTTGCGCTCCCCTTCCATGACCTCCTGCATGCGGCTGGCGTTGGCGGCGTTTCGCTCGGCGATGGTCCGTGTCGCCTTTTCGAGTTGCTGCCGCAGCTTCAGGGACTCGGCGCGCTGGGCGGCGATGTGCGTGACAAGGTCGTCGAAGATGGTCTTGAAGTCTTTGCCCAGAGACCTGTAGGATGTGTGCAGCTGGGTCGACACGTTAGCAGCCACCTCGAGAGATGCCATGTCTGGTGTAGGAGAACATACCTGGTTGTGGAAGGTGCCGAGCTCGCTGAGCACGTCGGCAGCAATCTGCTCCGCCGCCGCCGCGATAGACTGCAGACTCTCGCCCACTTGGTCCTTGACAGTATCACGCACCGTCTTGATCTCCTCGAGCACGTTGTCCATCTCTTCTTTGGATCCCTTCTGCTCGGCGAGCAGCTCCTCCCGCGACTCGACAAACTCCTGCAGGTGGCCCTCGAGGAAGCTTTCGGTCGAGGTCAGCTTGTCCAGCTCCTCGGCCACAAAGGCCTTCATCCTCTCGGAGATGCCCGCGACGTGCTCCTGCTGCTCGTCGCGCAAGAGTGCCATGCGCTGCTCCACGAGCGAGGTGATGTCGACGACGTGGCCCTGCGCCATGCCCCAGGCGCCGCGGTTGATCGACTGCAGGTCCGACTTGCGCTTGTTCTTGGCGCGCAGGCGGTCGACGTCGCCGACCGTCTTGTGGAGCGTCGAGATGAGACGCCCGCCGACCTCGGTGAGTTTGCCTTCCGTCTCCTGGTGCGCCTTGCGCAGGTGCGTCTCGTCGGCGAGCGACCTGCGCGTCGCGTCGAGCACGAGCTCCGTCTGGTCGAGCACGTCCCTCGTGTCGTCGAGCTGGGCCTTGGTGCCGTCGTGGTCCTTCTTGAGCCCCATAAAGTTGGAGGTCAGCGACAGCAGCTCGTGGACCTTGTTCTTGAGGTTCATCTCGAGCGTCTCCATCTTGGCCGCCTGCTCCTCGAGCACGATGCGTCGAGACTCGCTCTGCGCGGTCATCTCCTCGTATGATGCATTGGAGAGGTAGACACCGTTGCGCTGGCGCGTCGTGATGAGCTCGCTCTTGAGCTTCTCAATCTCGGTCTGGAACTCGCGCAGCAGCTTCTTCTTGTTCAGCAGCGGGTTGACCTGGGGCTTATTGCGGATGTTCTTGGCGCGGAAGGCGTAGTCGAGCGTGGAGATGGTCTCCTCGAGGTTGCTCTTGGCCGGGGAGACGGTGGCGATGATGCACGTCTTGGTGCGGCCGCCGAGCGAGTCTTGCAGCAGGCGCGTCAGCTTGGACTCGCGGTAGGGGATGTGCTGGCTGCGGTCGACGAGGGCGTTGATGACGCGGCCCAGCGTGAGGAGACTCTTGTTGATGAGACCGGCCTCGGCGGCGCGCTTGTTCTCGGCGCCGGACCGCTGGATGTTCTCGCTGCCCGCCAGGTCGACGAGGTTCAGCTTGCCGGCGCTGACGTAGTCCTCGCCGCCGTCCTCGTTCTTGCGCTTGACGTAGGCCGTGACGGTGAAGACGGTGTGGCTGCGGCTGCTGAGGTCGTTGCACTTGGTGGCGGCGACCTGGCGCTTCAAGCTCCCGTCCTGGAGGACCTTGATGCCCTCGCCGGCCGTCTTGATGTGCTTCTCCTCCATGCCCTGCACAATGGTCGTCGCGTGGCCCTTTCGTGACGTGTCGTCAAAGATCTTCAGCTTGGCGCCCTCTTCCACGGCAATCAGGTCGCGCAGCTCCTCGTTGTACAGCTCGATGAAGGAGCACTTGACGGCGCTCTCGCAGTCGTCGGCTTCGAGCTTGTTGAAGAGCGCCTGCAGCGCTCTCGGAATGATACCGGCAGCATCAGAGAGGAGGCCCATGGTTTCGGTCATGTCGCCGGACATGGTGTAGGTCTTGCCGGTGCCGGTCTGGCCGTAGGCGAAGATGGTGCAGTTGAAGCCGGCGAGCATCTGCGGGGACGTGTCAGCACGGGGTCTTGCGGCGCAGTGTGCGAGAGGAGAAAACGAAAGGAAAAAAAAAAGGAGGAAGACGCACCTCGTCGAGAATGGGCCTGACAACATCGTCAAAGACCATGCTCTGGTCGGCGGCGGGCGAAAAGGCGCGGTCAAAGTTGTACGTCTTGTTGCTCAGGGCGTTCGGTCCCATGGACAGGTTGACGTCCTTGCCCTTGGCGGCGTCGGCCGACACGACGACGGTGCTGTTCTCCCTGACCTCGCGCTCGTTGCGACCGCGACACCGCACGACGACCTGGATGTTGGTCTCCTCGCCGTGGTCGAGGCCGCCCGTCTCGGTGTCGTACTCGCGGTCCTTGCGTTTCGTGCTCGTCGTGGCCACGGAGGCCATGGACTCGGCTGGCGAGACGGCGCCGTCGCGGTTGAAGCGGGAGGACGACAGGGGGGGTCGCATTGATGTTCGTGCCGCCTGTCGGGTCCTCGTGAGGCTGCTGCTCCCGGTCGCGGAGCGGAGGGACGATGCCGACGCGATGCGCGAGGGCGGCTCCCGTTTGGAAGCCATGATGGTGTTCTGGGTGGACAATACTGCGTGAAGACGGCTGCAGAGTCTCTGGGCCGGGTACAAGATGCTGCAGCGCGCTCTGTTGGCGTTGATGATGGAATGTTTGGTGGCGGCTGGGGTTGTCAATAATGCCTGCATCCCAAGTCCATATTGGGTGTGGGGTCGACTGTGTGTGGTGCTGTTGCCCTGACAACATCGCGTATCCACTGGGCCGCGTTCCGTCTCGCATACGCCTTTATCACAAGGCTGTCACTGGCCTTTATCACAAGGCTCCACTGGCCTTTATCACAAGGCTTCACTGGCCTTTATCACGAGGCTGTCACTGAGGTATCTCGGGCGAGGGAGCCGTCTTGTCTTTGGAAAACGAGAGGCTTGAAATGAGTCTTGATCAAGTAGTTCAATTGAGTTCAGCTGTATATATATATCTCTCTCTATATATGTCTTCTATATATTCGAGTTACCCCTTCTCTGCCAGTGGATCAAGGTGCCAAGCAGGAGAAGGAACCGATCACTTTTCGAGCCACACGAGAAGAGTAGCCAACCGGACGAAGCGATGGGCAACATCAAGAGGATCAAATGGATCAAATGGATCAACTCTGCGTACTGGTCGCCGTGAGCTTGGACTGCCACGATGCTCGGTTTTATGGGGCGTTTTTCGTCGTGTTCATCCCAGGGAAACGAAAAAAGAACGCCGGACAAGACATACACGTGAACGACGCTGAGGGGATCGCCACGAGATGTGTTCTAACCGTGCAAGCCTGTTCGAAAATGTTGATGACCGGTCATCGAGCTTCCACGTAGTTTGTCGGGACGAACGCTTGAGGCGTGTCTATCATTTGCCAGGGCCAGGAAAATGGAGGCTGTCGGAATATGTCAGATCTTGACCCGAAAATTCCTCCCACCATTTCTGGCTCTGGGATAGACCTGTAAGACGAGTAAGTGGATCCCGTCTAGAGTATCGACAGGCTCAACGTCGGTTATGACCTGGGCGATCTAGGCAGACTTGGTGAAGGGTTGCAGCTGCGCGGCCCGATCGGGGCAGTTTTTCAACAGGCCTCTGCTGTCATGGAGAGCGTGATGCTGTCTCCGATGGTCAGACAGGCGGTGCGTGTATCGCCCACTGACCCGGTAGTCCATTTGCGTTCCATCTTGGGGGTTTGTTCTCGTTATTCTCGAGAAACAAATTGCGAGCATCGACAGAAGCAGCACCCAAGGATGATGAACACAGAATACGGCTCGGGCAACGAGGTGAAAAAGGCAGCCTACTTCCAGCACCCACGAGGCTGTGCGGCCACTGAGTATGCCTCGAATGAAGCCATGAGTGAACTGATGTCCAGACGTGGGACAACGACACACTGAATGCGTGGCGAAGTTGTGTGTGCCTGCCAGCGTCAGACAACCCCGAGGGATTCATCGGGGAGATGGGACAGTCAATGCATGTACAACTGCTTCGTGGAGCTCTTCAAGCCAAGGGTGGATGATCTGTGTGACATCGAAGAGCCTCATCGCCGTACTTCCAAAGGCACGCTGGAAGATGTGGTGATCAAGAGAACGCAAGGCAAACGAAACCTTCGGGAAGATGATGAGTGATGGTGACGAGCTGAGGGCCCGGTCAGTCGACAGACGGTTGAGGAAGACAATGGATACATCGAATTCTTGCACGGCCAACCTACGTGTTGGTAGCAGATCTCTGCTCGAGGATCTGTCTACTGTCTACTCCCCAAGGTAGGTACCTAAGGTGGTAGGTAGGTACCTAAGGTAGGTACTTAGGTACTTTGGTCGAGCCCCAGTACGTACCGATTCCCCCACTGCAGACCAGGCCCCACCCTGCAAGTGCAAGGCCTGCGGTACAGGGGCAAGAGGGGCCCTGCAGTGGACTGGGCTGCCCTTTCTCGAAGAAAAAAATCTCCCCGTCTCCAGGTACAGAACAGAACTGAACTGAATAGAACACCTCGAGAGACCACCGTCCAGCAACCCAATCGACCATGGACATCCTCAAAGTGCTCTCGCGCGGCATCAAGCAGGCCCCCAAGGGCGCCAAAACCCCAGGCACCTCCACCTCCACCTCCACCGTCAACCTCCCCTCCGCCGGCAACCGCACGAACCCCCAGCTCTTCCACGATCCCGTACCTGCAGCGCCGGCGCGGGGCAGCAAGAGGAAGCGCGCCAAGCACGACGTCGAACCAGAGCCCGAGGCCGGCCACGACACCGACCTGCCCGACGTCGACTTCTTCGCCTCCAAGCCAGACCCCGCCGAAGACGACAGCGATGTCGCCGCCGAACCCGCACCCGTCAAGCCCGCAGCGGTGCAAGCCTCGCCCATCAAGCCCGCCACGCTCCTCAGCGACGACGAGTGCCGCCAGATCCTCCGCTCCCACCGCCTCAAGCTGACCCTGCTGTCGAGCCGTCGCAGGAAGGAACCCAAAGTGACCAAGAGCAAGAGCAACAAGAAGAAGAAGAAGGTCGCCGTCGAGGTCAAGGACGAACCGCTGCAGCTGCACACCCAGCCGCTGGCCTCGTTCCGCGACCTCCAGACCGTCTACGCCATCGCCCCGAAGCTGGCCGAGAACCTGCAGCAGGAAGCCTACAAGGTCCCGACCGAGGTCCAGCTGGGCAGTCTGCCCATTCTGCTGCGCCCGACGCTGGCGTTCGGCAAGGTCCCCGAGAGGAAGGAGATCGGGGACAGCACGAAGGGGGTCCATTTCCTGGCCGTGGCGCCGACGGGAAGCGGCAAGACCATCAGCTTCTTGATCCCGGCCATCGACGGCATTCTGCAGAGGCGAGCGGCGCGGGACGACGGACCCGAGCACGAGCTGCAGGCCATCGTTGTCGCGCCGACGAGGGAGCTTGTCTTCCAGATCGTCAACGAGGGCCGCAAACTCGCCCTCGGCACCGGCATCAAGATTGCCGGCATGAGGAAGGACCTGCGCCTGCCGCACGAGGAGGTGGAAAGGCCTGCAGGGGACAGCCAAGATGACGAGGCGACGGGTGAACAGGACGGCGAGGATGCAGACGAGGCGGTATTGAGCGACAAGGACGCGGAAGCCAGCGACAAGGAAGACTCGGAAGCGAGCGACAAGGACGCCGAAGCGAGCGACAAGGACGCCGAAGCCAGCGACAAGGACGCCGAAGCCAGCGACAAGGACGCTTCGGACGAGGAAAGCGAGGATGGAGGGGAAGACACGTCCAAGCCCGTCAGCAAAGCCGACATACTCGTGACAACGCCCGCACTTCTCCTGCACTACCTCACCAAAGGCTCCTCCAAGACGCACAAGACCCTTTCTTCGGTACGGTCCCTGATCCTCGACGAGGCAGACGTCCTGCTCGACCCCCTCTTCCGCGATGCCACGACGGGCGTCTGGTCGGCCTGCACCAACCCGGACCTGCGCATCTCCTTCTGGTCCGCCACCATGGGCTCCAACATTGAGACGCTCGTCACGGAAATGCTCGCCGAAAAGGCATCAACGAGCCCCCTGGTCCGCCTCGTCGTCGGCCTCAAGGACACCGCCGTGCCCAATATCACCCACAAGCTTATCTACACCGCCTCCGAGCAGGGCAAGCTTCTCGGACTCCGCCAGCTCCTCCACCCCACCTCGGGCGACGAGTCCGGCCCGCCTCTGCGCCCTCCCTTCATCGTCTTCACGCAGACCATCGAGCGCGCGTCGGCCCTCGCCGAGGAGCTCAAGTACGACATTCCTCTCGCCGCCGGGGGCCCCGCCCGCATCGCCGCGCTCCACAGCGGCCTCACCGACGCCGCGCGCGCCGGCATCATGCGCCGCTTCCGCGCCGGCGAGGTCTGGGTCCTCATCACGACCGACGTCCTCGCCCGCGGTGTCGACTTTGCCGGCGTCAACGGCATCATCAACTACGACATTCCCGGCTCGACGGCCGCCTACGTGCACCGCGCCGGCCGAACCGGCCGCGCCGGCCGCGAGGGCGGCGTCGCCGTGACGTTCTACACCAAGGAGGACATACCCTTCGTCAAGACGGTCGCCAACGTCATTGCCATGAGCGAGAAGCAGGCCGGCAAGACGGGCGACGCCGCCGGCGTGCAGAAGTGGCTCCTTGACGCCCTGCCCGACGTCAGCAAGGACGACCGGAAGAAGCTCAAGGAGAGGGGTGTCGAGTCGAGGCGCACGGGCGGTGCGGAGGCCATGATCACGTCGCAGAGCGGCTGGGAGCGACGAAGGGAGAACAACCGCAAGGGTGCCATCGAGGGCAGCAAGCTGCGGAAGAAGCAGGAGAAGAAGAAGGCTGGCGGGGAGGGCGAATGGGGTGGTATCGACGACTGATTGCATAGCGGTCCGAGGAACAGGGGTCCCGCCCAGAAGCTTTCGGGGAGGGGGAGCACATGCGCATGAATGAAACCTCCAATGTCCACGTGCCTTGTGCCTCAAAATCTGTGTATATCGGAGCCATGCAACGCCGTCGCAATGACTTGCCGTTACGTTAAGAAGGAACGAACACCCCGCAACCCGCGCTCTACGGCTCTCTGCGCCGCTAGGTCATCGTCCCGGAGCTCGACGTCCACCTCCCATACCCTCAACCTACCGTCCCCCGACGCCGCCCGCGCAGGCCCCGGCAGCCTCACCCTCGTGGCTCGCGCAACCATGTCGGCCTGCGTGTTCCCCGCCACGCCCGCGTGGGCCGGCGTCCAGTTCATCTCGACCTCGACGCCCCTCGCGCCCAGCGCGTCCACCAGCGCGTCGATGCCCTGCCGCAGCCGCGCCGCCAGCGATGACCCGTCGCCGCCGCATCCGTAGACAAGGTAGACCAGCGCGGCCTCGCAGTCGGAGAAGATCCTGACGGCGTCGAAAGGCGACGCGTCGGCGTCGTCCTGCCGCTCGCCGCACGCGGCCTGGTCGTAGCGCAGCGCGTCCCACTCCCTGGCGGCGACGGCGAGCGCCTGTTCGATGGCGACGAGCTCGCAGGCTCGGACGCTGTTGTCGTGGCCCGCGATGCCGAAGGCGTGCTGCGTCCACTCGGGAGACGTCGTGGAGGGGTGCCACGGTCGGAAGACGACGGCGGCGGCGGCGGCGGCGAGCTGGGAGCTCCGCCTAAAGTAGGTGAGCGAGGCGTCCGTCCAGAGGACGAGGGCGTTCCGTCCCCCCCGGGACGGCGGCGACGATGCCTTGCAGGCTGCTGTCAGCGCGTCGTGGTGCTCGTAGACGTGTACGTCGTAGTAGTACGACGGGCCCTGGTCCCGACCCTGGCCTTGACGGATACGGTTGTCTTCGGAAGCGGCAGGAAACGTGGCAGTCGATCCCCCCCGCGCGTTATGGCCCCAGCTCGTCAGTCGGTTCCGAGAGGGACCTGGCGCGTGCAGGAGAGACGCCCGAGGACGGTAGGCAAAGATGGGCAGGGTGACATTGTGCTTTGCAAAGAACCTGTACACATCGTCCGATATAAGCTTTTGTCTTGACAATGGCCAATCGAGAGTCACATCGCTCATGCACGTGGATCGAAGGATGGGGGCGGCAGAACGCAGCCCGGACGACAGACACTTTCGTATCTTGGCCCGCCTCTTCCCGTCGTCGCGACCGGCATTGTCGTAGGCTTCCATGACGTGGAGCACAAATGTATGGAGTAGTCGGTGCAGCCTCTTCCGAGCCCTGGTGGCATGGTCCTGTACAGACGAAATCCTGTGGGATAAGGCAGCCATCGGATAGGCCTCTGCTACCGTTGGCATCCTATCTTTGGAGAGTGTAGCCATATTGTACCGGGTCCAGGAGCAGGTTGTTGGTGGTGATAATGAGTCGAACACGATCCAACAACATGATATCAAATGTCATCAGAATAAGCCTTCCATGTTAGAAGCCCATTTCAAATTCTCAGGCCAGATGAAAGGCGCATTATATACTGAAATTTATACTCGGGAACAAGGTTTGATGGCTTATGCCACCGGAGACCGCAATGCTGTTTGCCTCTTGCTGGGAACCTATCTGGCACTGGCCTAGCCAGGCTCGTCAGGGTGCCTTAGTTCCTCCATCCTATGCATTCAAGTAGCGTCGCTTGTTAGGAATTACCTCCAATACACAATATGCACGTTTGGTTCTCACGAGGCCATCGTCTCGTGCTCGTCTCGATGAGCGAATATTGACCAATCACGAATTTTGTCCAATCGAAGTACATGAATTGACGAAAACCGAAGAACCAGGCCGGACAGCCAATGCAAGGGCCCGCACTTGGCAGGACCCCAGCCGAGACACGAGACACGAGACACTGCTAGCTACAGCATGTCATCGAGGCCAGTCCAGGGGCGGGCGGGCGCAGTGAGGGCGGCCCAACGCCCAGCCAGATCGCAAGTGGGGGGGAGGGATTCCCAACCCTCAGCAACCTTCACCTTCAGCCTTGACCTCCAGCCTTCACCTCCAGCCTTCGCGAGACAAGCTTCCTCCTTCCTCCTTCCTTCTCTCCCCCTTCTCTCCCGCTTCTCTCCCCCTTCTCTCCCCCTGCCCCCCCCCACTCGGCCTACCCCGCGCAGGGGCTCTACCACCACCCGAGGGCAATGACCATACCACGCCAGAGCCATGGCTGATTCGGCCACCAGGTCTTTCGACACCAAGAACCCCAAGTCTCCAGCGCCCCGTTCCAAAATCGTGCGGTCCCAGAAGATTACTGCTCCCTCCACGACCACCGAGTCACGCTCGCACAGGAAAGACAAAGGTAGACCCGAAGAAGACGATGACGACGAGGACGAAGAGGAGGACGACGAGGTTCCCGAGCGTCCTCCTGTCCCCCGAAGCCACACCCCTGGTCACCTGTCTACCAAGAGCCAGGACCGCAGACGAAAGCCTTCCGAGTTGTCCATTCGACAGCGCTCCCAATCCGCCTCCCAAGCGTCTCTCCACAGCTCGTCCAAGGCGCCCAAAACACCTCTGTCGTCGACAAGCACCTCGTCTCTCGCGCCGAAACCGCCACCGTCCATGCCCCCCGGCAAACATGCCGCCGAGGCTGAATCCGCTCCGACGAGCGCTGATGGTCGCGACAGAGACTCCCGCCGCCCGATGGCGCTGCGTTCTACGTCGGCAATAGCCGGAAGGCCGACACCTGGCCCGACACCGTCTCGTACCGCGAGCACCGTACACTCGAGCAGCGTCCACGCGCACACGCGAGCGCCTCCGCAGCGCGGCCAGTTCACGGCCTTCCCCCCTCTGCAGGACCCCAAAACGGCGCCCGACGTGCCCCCAGCGCCAGCCTCGGGCATGTACTGGTCTCGAGCCCCCGTCTCTGGCGCTCCGCACACCTCGCTGCGGGCGCACACGACCACCCTCGTAGGGTCCAACATTTTCGTCTTTGGCGGTTGCGACTCGCGAGCCTGCTTCAACGAGCTCTACATCTTCGACGCCGACGCGTTCTACTGGTCTGCACCCCACGTCGTGGGCGACATACCCGTGCCCCTGCGCGCCATGACGGCGACGGCCGTCGGCAAGAAGCTCATCGTCTTTGGCGGCGGTGACGGCCCGGCCTACTACAACGACGTCTATGTGCTCGACACGACGACCTTTCGCTGGTCGCGGCCGCGCATCCTCGGCGACAGCGTCCCGTCCAAGCGCCGAGCGCACACGGCCTGCCTGTACAAGAACGGCATCTACATCTTTGGCGGCGGCGACGGCGTCCGCGCCCTCAACGACATTTGGCGCCTCGACGTCAGCGACGTGAACAAGATGTCGTGGCGCCTCGTGTCGAGCCCCGACAAGGACAAGCCGGCGTCGGCGCCCCCGCCCCGCCCCAAGGCCCGCGGCTACCACACGGCCAACATGGTCGGCAGCAAGCTCATCATCTACGGCGGCTCGGACGGCGGCGAGTGCTTCAACGACGTCTGGGTGTACGACGTCGACGCGCAGGCGTGGCGCCTCGTCGACATACCCGTCACCTACCGCCGCCTGTCCCACACGGCGACGCTCGTCGGCTCCTACCTCTTCATCATTGGCGGCCACGACGGCAACGAGTACGCCAACGACGTGCTGCTCCTCAACCTCGTCACCATGTCGTGGGACCGCCGCCGCGTCTACGGCCTGCCGCCGAGCGGCCGCGGCTACCACGGCACCGTTCTTTATGATAGTCGGCTGTTCACCATTGGAGGCTTCGACGGCAGCGAGGTGTTTGGCGATGTCTGGATCCTGGAGCTGGCGGTGCATGCGTATTACTCGCAGATCAGCCACTTTACCATTGAGGTGTAGTTCAGGCCGTTCCACCGGTGGGCAACAAGAGGCTTTGCGTTCTTATTTATTTTTCATGGCTTTCACGTAGTGCAGCGTTGTTCTCGGTGTCGGATGGCTCCCCCCCCGCCCAGTGTTGGATTTGGATGGGAAGGCGGACTGGACTTCTTGATGTACCATTTTGTTGCGCCATGGTTAGAGGGCTCCAAGTTCAAATGTGTTACACGATACAGCGTCAAATCCAAAAGCAAAGAGTAGCAGGAGGTATGATGAGTTCCATTATGACTTTGACCTTGTGTTCGCTTCTATCACCACGCAACTCGTACACGCTCTGTAATCTGTAGAGCCTCCAAACGCCGCTATAAACAAGAAAAAAAAAATGGGCATCAACAATGTCTTGAACCCCCCTCCCGGATCCCCGCCCAACGCCTCCAGACAAGGTACTCGCTGCATTTCGATCGATCGCTCCGCAACTTGCCCCCTCCCCCCCCCCCCCCCCCCCCAACCTGCAACCTCCTGCAAGAAGGGGACCGGCAGCAGCACACAACAAAAGACGGCACGCTTACTGCTTCTGCGGGACCTTTGTGCTCTCGCGGTCCTTGATCCTCTTCTCCTCGGCAGCGACCATGTCCTTCCACAGGTCCTGGCCCTCGTACTCCTCCTTGTGGACCTTCTTCTCAATGAGGTGCTTGTGCTCGGGGTCGTTGGGGTCGAGGACCATGACCGTCTCCCAGCGGCCCTCGCCCTTCTTGGCGTCGTTCATCTCAAAGACGGCCGTGACGACGAGGACGGCGACGGTGAGGGCCTGGGCGTAGACACGGGCCTGGACGAGGCGCTGGGCGCCGGTGAGGTACTTTTGGCGGTTGACGATGGCCATGGCGGCGGCCATGGAGGCGATCCACGAGCCGAAGACGATGCCGTAGCGGTTCGTGCGGCCCCAGCGCATAAAGGCGTCCTGGGCGCTCTCGTTCTGGTGCGCGAGCTCGCGCGCGCGCTGCGAGGCGTCCTGGTAGCCGTACATGGGGTCCTTGGAGTGGGCGAACTTGATCGACTCGCGGTCGGCGTTGACGATGGCGCCAAAGGTCGCCGTCGACGTGACGAGGAAGGTGCGGAAGGGGAGCGTCAGGGCGCGGAAGGCTGGGTAGCGTCGCGAGGCGAACATGGTGCCCGCGAGGCCGCCGACGAGGCCGAGGGTGCCGCCTATGGCGCCGCCCTTGAGGACGACGTTGTAGTGCGCCCTCTCTTCTTCCTGGCTGAGGACCTTCATTGTGTTTGGGTGTTTGTGGTGTTTGTGGTGGTGGTGGTGGTGCTGTGTGTCTGGAGAGCAGACGGCTCAACTGGTGGGCAAAATGTCGAAGGGTTAGAGAATGTTTTTGTTGTATGGGGATGGATCCCAAAAGTGGTACGAGATAAGATCAAGAGTGTGAATCTTCGTCAATGGATGATGTGATGCGATCGTGCTGGGTGTAGATAAGGGAGTCAAAAAGATCCAAGACCTTTTTATTCAAGCTGCAGGAATTGTGCGCACGGCAACAGGGGAAAGGGATGGGAGAAACCGTGTGAAGCCAGCGAGCAAAGGACGAAAATCACGTACGGCGATTGAAGCTTCAGCAACAGCTCAGTCTCGGCAGGCGGCAGCGGAAAGTGGTGTCATCGATCATCATCAGGGCAGGCGCGACGGGAGACTGACGTAACGACAAAACTCACGTCTTGGACCCCGAGAAACATCCGACCTCCCCTGCCATTGGCTACGCGTCGCCCATTTGGCTGAATCAGCAGCAACTAGTCCGGGCGACCCCGAAACCGTCGAAGAAGGCGCCCAAGGTCGTCTGATGCTCGCCGCTTGCAACCCGCATTTCGCCGTTTGCTGGCGATACGCCGAACAGCGAAGCCCACCCGTTCAGATCCCGACACGACCACCGCCAACCACTGTGTGTGAACCCCCAGCCTCAGCTCACTCCAAGCCCGCCAAGCTCACCCAACCGTGAACGCCGCACCACACCTACAGGACCTACCTGCTCACGTGCCCATCCCTCCATCCCTCCATCCCTCCATCCCTCCATCCCTCCATCCCCCATGAAAAGACCGGCCTCGACTCGACACAAGTGACAGCCACACCACCAGCCATCAGCCCTGCCACGATCGATGCATCTCCGCCCTCGCTAGCCATTTTCTGCCATGGCACGATTCTTTTCAGATCGTGTCCATCCCCAACGCGCAAAGTGCGACCGAGACCCAAGGAAAACCAGTTGCTAGGTATCTGACTCAGGCATTGCTGACAGTTCTCCTAAAATCTCCGACACTGTTTCCTAGACCCCATCCGCGCGCTTCTCCAGCCTGGGCAGAGGACAAGTTCATGGCGTCTTCGTACCTGCATGGGCCGAATAGTGTCATAGCAAGTACGTGCGGGTGGCGGCTCGACTTCAGCCCATCGTTGACAACACCGTGATTGAATTCGAACTGGATGACCTCTTCGACAGCACCACAGCCGACATGCTTGCTATTGCCGGTGAGGAAGTACATGTAGCACCCGCACACCAGATTGGGTGGCTGGGGCGGCCAGATGTCTCTGGGCCCCGGGTATGAGGTTCAGGGCCTCGACACTTGCGTCGACCAGGTCTCAGCTTGCCCTCCGTCCGGGAACTGGCTTGGTTCGGAAACACCAGATGATCTTCTCATCTCGTCTCCTTTTCACTCCTGCCTCGAGTCGTCCCCTCACATGCCAAGTCTGTCCTGTGACCCCTCCAGCGAGGGCGACGGGGTGGAATCCAGTACCCCAAGCACCTTGTTTCGTGGATGCTCCCAGGCGGCGGCCCCCCCCCCACGCCAACGCACGCACGCGCATATCATGCCCAACAATATGGTGCCCTACTCCATGAGATCGCGCGTAGCTTGTCCGAATGGCAGGGCCCCATCTTCCCCAGTACCGAGCTCATATTGCTGGAACGAGCGACACTTGTCCTCAACGCTAGACGCCTCCTCCGTGATGAACATTATCAGCCCAATACAATATGCTCGATTTTAACCGGGCGGCGTGGGTGATCTTACCTCCAAGGGGGAACTGCTCGGCTGTCCTGACGACGATCCTGCGCTCCGGGCGGTGAGCCTCATGAAGATCCGTCCCGCTTGGTTGCATTTCCGAAATTCAGGGTCTTTCATGCGCCTCGTCCGCCTCGCCCTTGACCGCCCGCCCACTTTGTGCCTCACGGTCCAGCACGAGAACCACAACAGGACCCCTTTTTTTCCTTTGGCCTTTCGCGAACGAGTCCAAGAGACGGGGCCGGTCCGAGCAGAGCAGAGCCACAAAGAACCGAAGAGGGGCATTGTTGTTGTTGACACGCATGTTGTCCTGTCTGAGCAGCCCCAGCGATCATCCTTCCTCTTCTGGAACCCTTCCACAATCCCTGTGCGCGGCGCATATTTGTAGCGCAGTCGTAGCGGCCGAGCTCAACAAAGCACTCGCTCGGCTCGTGTCCGCCACTCGTTGACACTTGACACTGCTGTGCTGATTCCAGGGTCCTGCAGCGCTGCTGGTCCGGAGACCAAGCCCCATTCGGCACCCAGCGTAACTCCCCTAGTCCGCCAACCCGCCAGCCAGCCGCTGTTGGTCTCGCCAGCCAGCCCGTCACAGGGCAGGGCCAGACCGTCACCCGAACCACTGCCATGGTTCTCTCTATCGTCAAACGTGTTCCTAGATTGCCGAGGGCCCGGCCACAGCATCTGACATGCCCAAAACGACGGCCACAAGAGCCACCACCGAGGCTCGACAGCTCCGCCCATTTGACGCGAGACGAGGTTCGACTCACTTCGCTACGGCACTTGCCACTTTGAGCCCCCATCCGATGGTCGAAACCAGCTGGGGCTTATGCTCCGCCGGCTTTGCGCTGCCTGGCGACGGAATTTCTTTTTTTTTGTGGTGGCCCCTCTCTCGTCGTGTGCCTAGGGGTCCCTCAGGTCCGCTCACGTCTGCAACGCAAATTGCACCCACCTGCAGCTTGATGTGGCCTTGTCGTTCCCGTTCGTTTGTCTGTCGCTTAGGCGGCATTCTCCGTGCTTGCCGTAGCGTCGCGTCGTCCATGTGGCAGTCCTTTTTCTGCCGAGAAGTTCGCCGCTGGGCTTCCCTTCTAGGCAGAGCCGCCTCAGCCAAGGTGGCTCCATCCATGGTCGGTGCTCGAGCCTGACATCTGAGGCGACATTGAATGCCGAAGCTAACAAGGCCTCGAGACCCAGAAGACGATGGAGACGATGCCACGCGCGGCGGGAGCACATTTCCATAACTGGGGTGTTCCCGGTGCCGCTTCCACCAAGCATCGCCAGCCGAGTCAGGCCGGGCTCGGCCTCGGCGTCATCGGCGGCGCCACCTCGCGAGGATCCAGGAACGACCGTGTCGCCTTACGTACAAACGCTCAGGTGGGCGGCGTGACCAAATGTTCTGTCACAGGCTCGCCGACCGACGGGAGGCTTGTCTGCCAGCCGTGCTCTCGTTTTGGGCTGTTTCCCTGGGGTCCCACCGCCCCCTCCGAGATCTGAATCCAGAAACCAGTTGGTGTGCAAGGTCCCGGCCAGCCGGGGCTCGGGAGGCTATGCCGAATTGGCAGCCCCCAGCCATCCGGACCAATCTTGCATCACCACTGGCGAGCCCCGCTAAGGAAAGCACTCGTTCGACCAAGGCCCAAGTACCTTGCCAGCAATTTCCAGGTGCCAATGGCTACCGTATCGATCTCGGTCAATCCATGGTCGAACTGGCAAGCCACCTGGAAAGCGCTCAGGACATCGTCCGGCCGTGAACATGCCCCAGGCGACACGAACGTCTCACATGTGCCTGCCAAGGGGCGCAAAGATCATCCGCGATGAGGGCTTCTGAATCCACCTGAGCCGCCCACAAAAGAGTGGATTGAGTGATGTCAACGTACTTGCTTCCAGTCGGTTGAGATCAGGAAGCCATCGCCAGATCGATCTGAAAGGATTGGTCGCTTGGTGACGGCGCCGACAAGGTCTCCACCGTGATGTATTGCAATATGCCGGCCGCTGATCACACTCCTGGGCCCCCAGAGGATGTCCCCCCCAAGTTCATTGGTGCCTCTTGCCTATCGCCGACGCGGTTCTCACGACTGATTGTCGTAATGTCTGCCCACCCATTGCCTGTTGATCCCAGCGCCTTGACTGCCGATTTTGTGCAGCAAACGAAGCCGATGCAGAGGGGATGGCCTCTGATGAGATCATGAACGGAGCAGACTCGGTGCATACAGGTCAAGGTTGGGACCCGATATTACCATGCATGTACGATGTCATGTCGTCTGCAAGTACAGCTCGCGAGTCAACAGCCCAGCGGTTGGGATCCGCAACTCTCTCTACTGGACTTTGTCAAGCCACCGACCCGTAGCTTAATGGACACGGTCTTGGCAGGCAACCGTCGTCCAGACATTGAGCCCGAGGCATATGTATGCCTTGCTGCCATCGCGCCCTCCCACTGGAAATGGCCTAGGCCAACTTCTGAAGCTGCATAGCCCGTCAGCCTATTGTGGTCGAAGCTCCATCAGTGAGAGATCGAGTGGGTGTGTGGCGGTTTGGGCGGTAGAGATGTAGACATGTTTTTGTTGCGCATGGCTTCGGGACCCTTGATCCGTTCTGTCACTGTGTGCATGCGATGCGGGTACTGCATTGCATCTCACAGCGGACAGCCTGGACCAGCCCATCCGCCGTCCTCACCGCCTTTCGCAAAGGGACTTACATGTGCCCCTCGCATGTTCAGTTCACGAGAACGCCCAGGCAGAAGCAAAGAAGCCGGAGGAAATACGGCCTGGCCTCGTTCGGGCGCGAACATGAGGAGTTCGGGGGGGGGGGGGGGGGGTTCTGCTCAAGAACTTGAGCATGGATACTCCAGCCATGATGACCCCACGCCGAGAAGTTTCCCAGCATTCTGAGTGTTGCCATTCGTTGCGGCGCAGACGCCTCGGTGGACACGCAACGTGCAGCACGCCTCCAGGCTGTCTCTGCACCCACTGTCAAACCACTCCCCCTCTGTTGGTAGCGTATGTTTCTGCCGCGCTACGATTTTCTGCCAGACACATATCAACAAAAGGACGTCTGTCTACTCGGTTGCCTGACCGTCCTACTCATTCTCCGGCTTGGGCGGTGTTGCATGTGCGACGATGGTCGTCGTGGCAGCCCACCATGCTACGCCAGGGCTCGGGTTGCGTTACCATGACTCACAGCTGCCTCAAGGCAACGGTTCGAGACGTCACCAGCAACTCATGAATTCCTGGA